TCCCTTGTATTTTTAAATTTAATTCATTCAACTTTGCCGTTATATCTGTCAGAAATCCGAGGTCGATTAGCCAATCCTTATTTTAATTGCTCGTAAAATTCGCCTCTTGATGCATAAATTCCTTTATTTGTGGCAAAAGCATGATAAACCGCTCAAGTATTTTACCTCTGCTCAGCCACCTCACTTCAGTATGTAAAAGAAGATCTGTGAACTGAACGTCCTCATCTTCTAAAAGTAATTTAAACAATCTGTGTTGCATAGCTCCCGATCTTATGGAATTAATAATTTTTGTTACTATCGTAAATACGTGTTGAAAACCGATTGTTTTTGCGCATAACATTTCCTGATGTATGAGGCAATGATAAGAAATAAATTTCGGGAATAAGGAATCCTGTCTACATAAGGCAATAAATCCTTTTTTCTTACCAGTCATCGCTGGTGCCCCGTCTGTTGTAATTGACGATAACTTTTGTACAGGTAATTTTACATCTGTTATATACTTTTTAAAAGTAGAAAAGATATCTTCTCCTCTGGTGCTTCCCTTTAATGGCAGAACTTTAAGGAATTCTTCTTTTGTTGTAAAATCAGAAAATACCATCTTCACGCAAATTGCTAATTGTGATATATTTGTCACGTCTGCCGATTCATCCATCTGTAGCGAAAAGAAAATACAATTTTCCATATCATTTGCTAATTCTGCCTCCAAATTCTCCGCAATTACTTCAATTCTTCTAGTAACAGTTCGTGCTGATAATTGCAACGTGTTTATAGCTGAAACTATTTCCTTTTTATTTTTAAATTCTTCAAAAAGTGAATCAGCAGCTTCTAACATGGCTTCTTTCACTAATTCTCCATCTGTAAATGGTTTTTTTATTCTTAGCTAGCAAATGCGATATTTTATATGACGCGATCGTTGCTGCTTTATGTTGTTGCAGTGGTTTAGTAAAAAAACTTTGCTGGTTAGTTATTGAAGATTTTAAAGAAATAATTTTTTTTTTCTTCTAATTTCAGAGTTCATTGGATAGTCACTATCAAAATTGGTATGAACGGTCTTAAAATGTCGTTCAATATTACTTTTCTTGGGAATCGCAACACTATTATTACACAACAAACAAATACACTTCCCTTTGTAATCAACGAAACAATATAGATGTTCCCATTCATCGTTAAAATAATATGTTCTTTTTCTTTTACATTTATCCATGAAGGGTTTTGAAAGAAAAGAATTATTTCGGATTACTTGGTAGTTTTAAATGCACGGTCTACGCGTGGTCTATTCGAAATACGATCACACACTAACAAAAAATACGTGCGTGTTATTAGATACGCTCAAGGTTAGCAAACTGCTAATCTATGCACAATCCTAAACTCAACTGACTACTGTCTAACCACGCTAGCGAGAGCAGTTTGGCTGAGGGCCAAGATGGGTCAGTTTAATTGAAGGGGTGTGTGGGGCGAAAAGCGCGGGTATTTTTCCCTCTCGAAGGTCGAAGGGATGTGGGTGAAATCGAAGGTCAGGGGACATTTAGTGTCTACCGGGCTACTGCACTCCCCCCTACATAACTGATAGATGTGCCCACTTCCGCCCCAAAACCGGATGTTTACATATATCTGGAATACGTAATCAGACAGTACTTGCTGTATATCGCCGTTTGACAAGAGTAAGTAAATCGCTCTGGCTATCATACATTTACATTAGTCCAGCGAGGGCGCATTAAAAATCGATCGGGGCGCCGCGTTCCTACCCCTGCTCTAGAGGCGTGTCGCCCTGAACGCTGCGTTGCTGCTTTCAATAAAATTTTATTTTACCGATATATAAAAGCTTCAACCCAGAGTTGTTTTTTACTACACAAACAGCCCCCAGTAAAAGTCTTCTTTCAATTTTCCTGACCCACCACTTCTCCCAGTATATTGTATTTTATAAATTATTTCCTGTGGTTTAAATTTAATGTAAATATACTTTGCTATATTAAAAATAGAAATTGTGTAAAAGTTTTATTTATATTAAAAATATTTTCTGAATATTTTGCGACGAAATATGAATAAAATAAGTATGAATGGGAAATGAACGATCCGTATAAAGCAAAAAAGACCAAGCCCTTCCCCATTAACATAAAAAACCACAAATTTCATGTGCCAGATGAAAAGAAACTAAATAACGCTGGACATATACCAGTGAAATTTAAATCCAGGAAGTGTACATTTTGTAGCACTAGGAAGAAATCTCATAGAACAAGATGTATGTGCGAAACGTGCAATGTGGGTCTATGCATGTACCAAAGAGACAAAACATGCTTTAAAAAGTGTGACAAGACAAAAAAAAAAAAAAGAAGAAGAAGAAGAAGGTTCTTTGAAATTAAAAAAAAAAAAAAAAAAAAACTGAATTCTTATTTTATTCTTATTTTATTGAGTTTTTTAATCCATTTATCCAAATGTCCTTATTATGTAGGTACTTATATTTTCACAGCTTAGAAAAATTACATAAATGTTTATTTTTTAATTTTTTCTGACGATTTACTTTGTAAAATAGTGTAAAAAAAATTATATATAATGCAATTCTTACATACATTTTTTTAAAATCCGTAAATTTCGTCATTAATTGGAAACACGCGCAGAAAATGGTAAGTTTTTTTCCATACTACATCAGTAAGTTTCAAACTCCTAGACGTGTGGTGGTTTCACAGTGCGACCACCACCCACAGAACAATGGGCAAGAGTAGATTTTTTTTAATTCATATATTATTTGTTTCTAGGATCATAATATTCAATTTCTAGAGTTTTTATTGTAAAAATAATATCGTGCGCGTCAAAGGGTTAAAAGAAATCAACTCTAATTTTTAATTCCATATATATATAATTCAAAACCTAAACAAAATAAATTCAAAATTGTAGTGACTATTAGAATAATGAACCTTTCCCCTCCCAGATACAAAACTCATTGTAAAAATCACTAATGAAATAGACCTGTTCCAAAATCCCAAAGGAAATCAAAGTTGGACAGAAACAAAATTCATATAAAAATTGCCACAACAGTAAAGTGCAAACAATAATAAAGGCAAATGGATTTTACAATTTCCAGCATGTCTTCAGGGGTTGATATATTAGGGTGTTTCATTTTGAATGGGACAAAAAGAATAGTGTAGTATAAATTCTGTAATTGATTTATTAAGGTGAAACAAATAAACTCTGTATCTACAATAATAAAGTTTTATCTGACAACAGTGGAAAATCTTTGTTTGCAAAATTGCCATTATAGGCACTATTAATCAGAATGGCTCCATCCATTCAAAAGGAAGTGTATTGTGGTTTGGAATGTGCCAAAACACAGAATGCTTTTTCCTGCTTGGATGGCACAATTTTGATATTACCTATAGCGGTGATTTCATAACCAAAGGTCATCATTTATCGTCAGACATTTTTGCACAAAATTTGGTAAAGAACCACTGCATCATCACAACATCGAATGGAGGCTGAAGCAGTTTTAGGACACGGGCTGCTTGTGTAAGAAAACTAGTGGGGATGAACAATAGCCAGAAATGATGTTAATGAAATAATGTCTGAATTATTTTGCATCTTTGCCTTATCAGGATATAATTTAGAATTTTTGCGGAGGGGAGTAGCAGTGTAAAATGTGTATACAGATAAGAAAGTGCATTGTGGAAGTAAGAGGAGTATTATTGAAATTAATATCTTTATTGAAATATGTAATTCAATAGTATTAATATATCTATCTGTATGTGCTTTTTAATGAGTTATATTTTTGATTTAAACCTCTCCCTCAGGAATGGTATTTTCCTGAATTATTTTTCATGTAAAATTATTGTGAAAAAAAGGAAAAATTGAGTGCAAAAACATCTTTGAGATGTTGTGCTAATTTATGGGGAAAATTATGTCATTTGATCTAGATGTTATGTAGTGGAAAATAAGTGTCTGCTCATTTGTGAAAGATCAGCAAATCATGACTTAAGTGAGATCTTCGTAGCTGTGGTACAACTGTGTATAATAAAATTCTTTGTGAAGGAGATTATTAACTTCCTGAGTGACATGACCACATTTATCTGGTCATGCAATTTTTGTCACTTGGTATATATTAAATTATAATTTTAAATATTTAGCTTTCTGACCTTCTTTACTAATTGTAGGTAGCATCTTAATGGATGGGGGAAAAAATGTCATTGAGAGTGTTAAACCAGCCAAGATTTTACTCAGGTTGCAAGTTTAATGTAAGAAATAAACTGTGTGACAAAAAACTCTGTATGAAGGTGTAAGCAATTTGCTTTGGGTATGAGTAGGTGACTAGTGAACCACTTAATCACAATCATCTAAATGCACTTACATCAGTAAATTTTGGATATATAGAAAAAATGGTTCTAGAAAACTGGCTGTTTTTGGTGTTGTGCCAAGATGAATGTCTGTATCGACAGTGTTGAAGCAGTGATTTGAAGGCATCTGCTGTTTTACATTACCTGTATGAAATGTGCCCTCCCGCAGTTTGCATTTTATTGGAGAGGGAATTGCATAACCATCTGAAAAGTTTTGTTCAAGCAATTTAACACTAAAAGTAATGAATATGTGATGTTTTTTGGAGGCAAAGAAAATTTCAACATCAATGGGATACCTAGACATATAAGGAGATAATGTTTTAAAAAAAAGTCATCAGTTTAAAGTTTTATTGATTGTTTCATTTCCTATTTTACTGAACACTGATCCCCCTCCTTGTAATGGATAAATAGTTTAAGTTTGCTTAAAACAGTAGAGTTGTTGAATTTTATAAAGATTAATGTTTTAATAATATGTAAATATCCTATGCGATGTATTTGAAGTTAAACATATAGAAATTTATAATTATATATTAAACTAAAGTTCTGCATATGGATCTGAAAAACCTGTTGAATTTAATTTTTAATTTTATAAAGATTGTGAGGGCTGTATATGATTATATGATCAGCAGAATTATGTTTCATTTGTTTTAATTGTGTAAACTTTTTTTTTTAATGTAGGAACTTATGTGATATAAAGCAGAATGGTAAATTAAACTCAGAACAATTTGCTTTAGCTATGTATTTAGTGCAACAGAAACTTCAAGGTATTGAAGTTCCCGCAGCTTTATTTCCAGAAATGATTCCTCCAACACTAAGGCCCAAACCGTCACCAGATATTACTCAGGTAATTTTTTAACTCTAATTTTAAAAAGATGGGTAATGTTATATGCTTTAAATAGTATTGCATAATTATTTTAGCTTGTGTAGTTTCATACAACATTAAACTTCATACAACATTAAAAGTTCCTTTTAAGTGTATTTTTCACTTTGTGTGATCAACTTTGTATTTGGTGAAAATTTATATTGTTGTTGTACAGGAGTGTTTACACATTTATAGAACAATTTCAATAAAGAATTTTAAAAAAGTAAATGTTTGGAATAAAAATTTCTGGCAGTAGCTTATTATTTGAAATGCGAAATATTGTCTGCGAATTTTAAATTTATTCTTCTCAAAATGTCGCGTGTAAACAAGCTGTGCATTTTAGGATATATTTTTACAGTTTCCAAAGTAAAATTTTCCTATTCCATAATTCAAAAACTTAGTGAAATGCATGGTCTAAGTGCAAAGTAAGCAACATTATTAATTGGAAGGGAAAAAAAACCATCAAGCATTCCTATTGCATAGAAAGAAAACTCTAAGTACCTGAGAAACGTACTGTTACATACTGTTTCTAATGTTTGTAAAGTTAAATCATTGATAACAAGGGAAAATCTGTCGATTCAGAAATTAATTGCAAAGTCTTGAAATACATTTGAATGTAATACATAAAATGATAAAACAAGATTTACAAATTTAAAAAGTTGAAAAACGTAATGTTCACAAGTTTTTTGCCGAGGTATGTGTCTCAAAGCAAAACGGTTTGTACAACCTTGTATGAAAACTATTTACCAAGAGATAAATGGAAATACACTGTGACTTTCTGAGAAATTTCTTCTTTTTCACATTTGGAAGTTCTACCATTCTGTCTCCGACTAACAGATACTTAATCTCCTGTCAGAAAATCAATTTAAGTATGATAAAATCAAAGATGTTTTTTTACCTACTTGGGGGGGGGAGGTCAGGATGGGGTTACAGTAGGAATTGCATATGGAATGTGAAAGCAAGTATAATTTCTTCCCTATGAAAATGGCTAACTCATATTTGTTTATCTTCTTGATTGGCAGATGCTAACTTATTTTATGGATTTCTAAAGGAAGATTGTAGTTTAGTTGCAGACTGAGTTGAAGGGCATGTATTTAGATAAAAAAAAAGGAACCTTCTGGAAAATCAGTATTTTATTTCACTGAGAGTTTGAATATAGCATAACTGTAGTCATCATCTCAAAAGTCGTTAAATAACCACTAATCACTACAGAGGAATGAAATAGGAATAATTTGCACCACCCCTCCCAAAAATTATACCTGACCTAATAAGTAGAGTGTCCAGGTGATTTGATAAGTTTTAATTTTTGAAATTGGGCAAAAAAAGCAACTTTGTTTTGGCATAGGGTTTGAATGAAATTCTGTCAATTTTGATTTCAGGTCCATCTTTTTCAGGAGCAATTTTGCTTTTTTCTGTTTCTGTGAAAGGGGGACCAGTGTCTTCTTGAAATCAATGAGTTTTATTCATAGCCTATGCATATACAAGGTTATACTTTTGCCTAAGTTTAAATTTATGTTAATGTATTTCTCTTCTATTTAAGGTTAAACTATATATGTACATATATAACTGTGTCCCAGTATCTGCAATTTAAGATTGTAGAGACATTAGGTATTTTTTGGAAGCAGGCAAGATGAAAAATTATTAACCGTCTTTGCCTGGAATCGAACTTTGGACCTCTGGAATACCGGCCCAGCATGCAGAACCACTACACCACGAAGGCACTCTAGGAAAGTGGTAGAAATAGCTTATATACTCCCCTTTTTAAAGGGCGACTGGGGTTTTTAGTGGACCCAATCGCCAAATCCTAGGTGTGGAGAGTCGTCATCCACAACCTTTTTAGTTCGGGTGCCACTTGTAGAGACATTAGGTATTTTTTGGAAGCAGGCAAGATGGAAAATTAGCAACCGCCTGCACAGGGAATCGAACCACAGACCTCTGGAATACCAGCCCATCATGCAGAACCACTACACCACAAAGGCACACTAGGAAAGTGGGAGAAATACCTTTTAGGATATCTACCGCTCAAAATAAGTACCTCTCTCTCCTCTGATTAATATTTCATATAATTTTATCTTTACATAAGAATTTTTGTCCTGTTTCTGTTTTTTTTTTTTTTTTTTTTTTTTTTTTTTTTTTTTTTTTAATTAGGTATAAATATTTATTTATTGTTTTATATATTTATTGGCCCTTTTTTGGTGGTATGCAGTTGATCCATGTATTGTGTTTAAATCCATGTGATTTTACATAATATTGAATAGTTATTCATGATTAGAATTATTTCTAATACTAGACATACTGCTCTTCTTTTCATGTAAATCCTGTATTTCTGTGATTATATCTTGTTAAGTTCTTGAAATATGAGATTATTTTTAAAATTACAATAAATTAGTTACTTAAGATACTAAATGTTGTGATGTAATAAATGTTTATAAAAAATTTAATGATAAATATATTTTGCACTATTATTAAATAAATATCTTTCGCATTATCATTAAAAAATGTGAAAATTATTTATCTAAACAAAATGTTGGATTTTATTTGAAATGTTTGATTAGATGTTGAAAACTAAAATCATAAATTTCTTTTACTAAATTTATCTCTAGGGATAAATTATAAGATGATTTTTAACTGATTAAATCCACTTAATAAGTTTTGGTTAATGGAATCCAGTTTTTTTAAAAGTGAAGGAAAGCAGTCTTCACTTCTTCTACTAAGAAATCCTGTTATCTTAATCAAAATGTGTTTTAATTATTTTCTGTACATTTACATCATAGATTATTTATGTAGTTTAAAATATTTCAACTATTTAAAAATTTGTATGCATTAAATTTTATTTTTATTTAGGATGTAACTCTGCCAGTAACTACTGATAGTGAATCTTCAGGAAGCAAAGAACTCGATATGATTAGTAGTGAAATAAAAGAACTTCAAATGTAAGCAACATTGACAATAATTAGTAACATATGCAATTTGTATTACTGTACATTTATATTCTCCTAAAAATCAAATTGTGTTGTAAAAATCATCTTGGACATCTGTTGTCCATGAATCAGAATCATCGAGTGAATTTCAAACTGAAATTTGATTTATTATTTAATTTTATTATAAAAATATAATAAAAGTTTCTTTCAAGTCTGAGAAAGGTTAAGTGTCTGAGAAAAGTACATCATAATGAAAGTGTTTCCGAAACTCTTCTTAAGGCCTAAGAATCTTAAATGTTCAGAAATGAATTAATTTCTCTGAGTTAAACTGAGCTTTTTTTAAATAATACATGTTGGCAAATTAAAGGATTATATACAGGTTGACCCTTCAGTTTAATACTTATTGGCAATTACATATATTATTTTGGGGTCAAACTATTTATAAAATCTATCACTGTTTCTGAATTCACTATATTGATGGCACTTGCATTTTTTGATGATAATAAAGAAGATTTAATCAAGATTTTGTCTGCTGTGTATTTAATATGACCATCTAATCCATTTCATGTTTCAAATGGAATCAGGTAACTTCCTTCCTTTTTGTAATGTTCTAATTATCTTCAATGATTTGGATTTCAGCAGTACTATTTACCGTAAGCCATTTTCTGTTTCATGTTTCCTCATACAAAATCAAGTCACCTTGCAAAATGGGGGGGATGAGGTTTTTCTCTTTATTCTTATATGTGTCATGGTTTTCACCATTGTTCATCATTACATCATCATTGTTCTTTGGAATCTTGTCTTTCCCAGAATTCAGTTATACTGATGGGGGGGGGGAATCCCAACACCAAGAAGTTGTGTTAGATAAATGAAATTTAAGAGGCATGTTTATACATCTGAAAGGTATTGTCTATTCAAATTTCATGCTGTCTCAATGTGTGACACTAGTAGTGCCACTATGAACATGCAAATCAGGTTTGCTTTAAATATGCTCTGTAAAGTTCGTGAGCTTTATTAATGATCGAGATTTGATGTAAGTCAAGAATGCATCTAAAAAGATGAAGAAGCCATAATGAACAGCTTTAGTGAGTTTGAATGAGGTTGTGTAATATGGCTTTGAGAAGGTAGATTTTCTTTCTGTGATATTGCAGAAAGACTTGGCAGGAATGTATCCATAGTATGTAAATGTTGGCAGCAGTGGTCAAGGAAAAGTACTGGTTCAAGACCAAGTACCAGGCAGCCATGTGGCACTACTTAAAGGGAAGACTGCCATATTCTTTGTATAATTGTGGTGCATCAAACTATGCCTGCAGCAGAAATTTGAGCTGCAGTTGGCATCACAATGACAGAACGAACTGTTACAAATTGGTACTTAAAGGGCAGCTCTGAGCCAGACACCCTGTAACATGCATTCTATTGACTCCAAACAACTGTCGTTTGTGATGTCAGTGATATCAATCTACACCTCATTGGAGGATGGAATGAAGATTTTTGTTTTCTGATGAGAGTAGGTTCTGTCTTGGTGCCAGTAATGGCCATGTGGTGGTTAGATAAGGAAACCGGGTGAGTGCTTGCAACCAATCTGTCTGCGGCCTAGGCACATTGAACCTACACCTGGAGAGCACCCTGGTCTGGGGAGCAATTTTGTATGATAGGTCTCTCATGGTTATGCCATGCAACCTGGCTGCAAATTCGTATGCCAGTCTGGTGAATCATCCTGTTCTGCTGCCATTCATGAACAGCATTCAAAGGGATGTTTTCCAAAAGGATAATGTTTGCCCTTATACTGCTGTTGTAACCCAACATGCTCTACTGGGTGTCGACATGTTGTTTTGGCCTGCTAGATCTCCAGATCTTTCTCTAGTTGAGCACGTATGGAACATCATTAGATGACAACTCCAGCATCATCCATAACCAACATTAACTATCTCTATTAATGAACATGTTCAACAGGCATGGAACTACATCCCACAAACTGACATCTGGTACCTGTAATACACAATACATGCATGTTTACACGCTTACATTCAAAATTCTGGCGGTTGCATTGATTATTAATGTGCTAGCACATTTGCAATGGTTCTTCTTGTGCTTGCATTAACCTATGGTCTTGAAAATTTAATCTATTAAATATGTTAACTAGACAAATGTATTGCCAAAATTTCATTATCTGCATTAATTTTTTTTTCTGTGCATTGGGATTCCCCCCCCTCTTCAGTTGTATATGAAATCATTTGTTATTGACAGAGGATTTCATTCCATGATCACCAGCCTTTAAAAAAAATTGTTGCTATCATCATACGAGACATTCCATTTCTTTCTGATTTTTTCAAAGTTCTAATAACTGATTTGATTCATTACTGTTTTCCTCAACAGATGATGCTACATTTGTTTTTGCTTTATGTTTGCATATTAGTTTCTATATGAAATAATTCTATGTATTTTTGCAAAAATTGTTTTGCTCTTGTAGGAGAGAGACCTGTGTCTGATTGCTTTCAAAACTGACTGAAATTCAAATTGTTTGAGTTTTATTCAAAATCTTTAGTTTATCTTTTTGCATAATTTTAAAATAGTTTTTGATGTTATAAATATCTTAGTGGTATTGTAAATTTTTCATACCATTATATTACAATCTCATACCATTTATCATCTACAGAAAGAACTGGAATTGCCCAACACTTAAAATTTTAAATGGCTGATAAAATGGTTTTCAGTGCATTGCTTTTTGATGTAAAATATGACTTTTGTTCTTCTAATTATGACTGCATAATAAATTGATCCATTTTAAAAAAAGTAAATACTTCCTTATTGAAGAATAAAATGACATCTTCCATATATATGACAAACATTTATTTAACATGATATTACACAGCAACAACAGAGTAGAAACATGATATTACACAATGCTTAGCACTTCTTGCTTACATGCGATACTCGCCACTGACGTTTGCTAACTGCATAGAAAAGTATTACACAGCAGAGAACTTGCTTATCATGTGCATGCGCTAGGGGAATCAACGGCGGTTGCCAACATACCCCCTTTCGACGTTGATTCTTCTATTCCTGAAAAGTAAAACAAAATACATATTAAACAATATTCAATCCTATAATTGTACTCCAATTTTGATGTTCAACAGGAGTCAGGGGTTTGGTTAACACATCAGCTTCCATTTCACTGGTAGGTATGTGCTGCACATCCAATTCACCGCGTTCATATACTTCATGCACAAAATGATGGCAAATACCTATGTGCTTTGTACGGGAGTGAAACACTAAGTTCTTCGTAATTTTCTGAGCTCCTTGATTGTCGCAGTATATTGTTGTTGGGTTTTCTATGTGTTGTAACCCAGCTCCTTTCAGGAAACGACACGTAGGTAGACTGGTTTCTTTGGCAGCCTCAGACAGAGCCATATATTCCGCCTCCATTGAAGATAGAGCTACACTGCTTTGCTTTCGTGATTTCCAGGTTATAGCTGAACCACTTAATATATATGCAAAACCTGTGTAGGATTTTCGATCATCAACATTTGATGCCCAATCTGCATCCACAAAGGTGATGAGTGGTTTTCCTGTTTTCGTATAAATTAGTCCTTGATCTTGGGTTCCCTTTAGATATTGAAGTATTCTTTTTGCAGCATGCCAATGTTCTTTTCTGGGATTGTTGTTAAATTGACTTCAGAAATTCACGGCGTGTGTGATATTTGGCCTAGTAGCTACTGAAAGGTACATTAGTGATCCAATCAGATTTCTAAATGGAACATTTTTCATGTCAGCGATTTTGTTTTTAGGACTCATCTCTTTTGATAATTTTTTGCTATTATCTATAGGGGGGGAGAGGGTTTAGCATTTTGCATATTATACTGATTTAAAATATCATCAACGTATTTCCAAGGTTCGTACGGTCCTTAAAAGTCCTTAAATTTTTCAAAAATGATTTTTGGTCCTTAAAAGTCCTTAATTTTGGTCAAAATGAATAAACGGTCCTTAATTTTGCTCATTTGACATTTCTTATCATTTCTAATGATTGCCATTATAAGTGTGAAATGCGATTTCTCATGAATATGGAATTAAAATTACACGGCTCTTAACCAATCTGTTGGCGAATTTGCGTTGCAAACGATAAAAAAAACAATTAGCTACTCTAGGACGAAAGTATCGGGTGTCTAATTGGCTATTCACCCAATCTTTCGAAACGGGTGTTATCCATAAATTTATGCAGATTGTGATGAAAGCGTGAAGCCGGAAGTTCTTTAAGAGGAGAAAGTGATGATAAAGGTGCTCGAGGAAAAAAAGGGGGGGGGATTCTGAAAATATTTGCCAAAATTGGAACAATTCCAACCTGGAAGGCCACAACCCCTCCGACGCCAATAGGAACGAGATGCCTGGAATGTGCATTTTCAATAAACTGTGGCTTCATCAAGCTGACTACAAAGACTGGATATTGATGGATGACAATCCTTATAAAGCTAAATGTAGGTCTTTTGTCTGAAACAAATTGAAATTTCTAGAATGGGAGAGTCAGCGCTGAAAATTCACATGAAAGCTAAGTTTCGTTTTATCATTTCAATTTGTTTTTACACGGTTTTGCTTACCTTAATTTCTGTGTTTGTTTTGAATTAAGCCATAAATTAATTTTTCGATCATCCTTCTACGGAGTTTATTCTCTTTTTTGCACATATATGTATGGGATATCGGGATTATGAGTTTATTTCTGCAGAGGGTCTGTTATCGATTTCGCGGGAAATCTATTGGCTCCATTTCGATTTTAGGTCGCCAAGGGCAAATTCGGTAACTCTAGCCGAGAAAAAGTGATGTTCGGAAATACGTTTTGAAGCTTCAATAGACAATTAAGTATTTGGTTTAATCCTATGCACAAGGTATCTGTTGCATAAGGGATTTGGCTATTTTTGGCAAATTTATGATGAGCAGTAAACGGGACATATACGATGAGTAGTTAAACGGGTGACTTTGGTGTTGGCGATAATTTTCAAAATTGCACCAAGGCTCCACCG